AGGGTTTAGGGTTTAGGGTTTAGGGTTTAGGGTTTAGGGTTTAGGGTTTAGGGTTTAGGGTTTAGGGTTTAGGGTTTAGGAGGAGATGCCGGGAGGCTCGATGGCCACCACCTCGGGCTTCAGGCCCGTGTGGGGCAGCGGCTCAAAGACGCGCAGGTGCACGAAGCTGTCGCTGGCGACCTGCACCTGAAGGAAGGTCCCCCAAATTACCGAACCCTAGACCTCCAACCTACGGACCCTACTTTGTAAGAACCCCGAAAATAGTAGTCACCATAATAATCATCATCATAGTCATAATAATAACACTAATAATAAGAATCACAATAGGAATAATAAGAAACAATGTAATGATAATAAATAACAATATAGTAATCACACAAAATCAAAACAATAATCATAACAAAATTTTGAAAATAATCATAATAGGATATATATATATATATAATATTACATTATAGTATTGTCCTGTATGGCCCTACTTTGCAAGAACCCCCTCCTGTGCTCACAAGGCCTGATACTCCGCACCCCGTCCCCCGTGGTCGGGCCTTGATGATGTGGGTCCGGCCGGCGACAACCTCTCTTTAGGGTTTCGGGTTTAGGGTTTAGGGTTTAGGGTTTAGGGTTTAGGGTTTAGGGTTCAGGGTGGTGTTAATATGGCTGCTTACTGCTTGGCTCTGTATATACTTAACATATACGTTGCATGCATTCATGCTATCTGCTATCAACCTTCATGTGAACAGAGCGGCAACAGACCAAAAAGGCAAGCCCTGAACCTTAAACCCTAAACCCTACACCCCAACCCCTACAGCCCTAAAACTGAGGAGGTGGTAGTGGTCCTCGTGGCAGGCTCCCCAGGACATGGGCTGTTGGGTTTTGGGGCTAAGTGGTAGCGCAAAAATCAGCAGTCCTTACATCGGGCTTAGGGTTTAGGGTTTTGCGTTTCGGGCTTAGGGTTTAGGATTAGCGTTTAGGGTTTAGGGTTTAGGGACCTAAACCAAATCCGAGCCAGCCGAAGCTGTCGGATGAGACGTTTGGATCCAGCATGCACACCCCCCCCCCCCCAATATACAGAAAAATGAATAAATAAATACATAAATAAATAAATAAATGAATAATAATAATAACAATAATATATATATATATATATATATATTGTTTTTGCAATAAGGACCCCAAAGTTAGACAAAAGCCGTCCACCCTCTCCCTGTCTCCCCACCTGCGTCTTGAAGGACACAGCTTTCCAGAGCTCAAAGTCGGTCTCCGAAAAGCCCGAGCTCCGCGCCTCGTTTAGGGTTTAGGGTTTAGGGTTTCGGGTTTAGGGTTTCGGGTTTAGGTTTTAGGCTTTAGGGTTTAGGACTCTAGGGTGCTGCCGAAGCCCCAAGCCCTGAACTTAGACACCTACACCATCCACACCCCGGAAGTGCAAGGCGAGGTGAGCCTCAAAGAACTCAGGGATTGAGGCTGGGGCCTGTAGGGGCCTAGATCCATTGTAACGATAGATGTAGATATACAAATGTATGAATATGTGCCACCTCCATCAATATGTAGATATGTACATATATATATGTGTGTTTTTATGTATATTTTATCTATCTGTTTATATATTTATATTTTTTACATTCTATATATTTATATATTGATATATTGATATATCTATATATTGATATTTTTATATATTTATATATTTATGTATTTATATATTTATATATTTCTATATTTATAAATATATATATATATATATATATAATATATCATATATATATATCTATCTATATTTATCTTTATATATTTATTATTATTTATATATTCTATATTTATATATTTATATATTTATATATTTATATATGTATATATTTATATGTAAATATATATATATATTTATTTATATATATATATATATATACTTATAATTATCTACTTATTTATTTGCTTATTTCTTCATGTATCTATTTTTATTTATTTATTACTTATGTATTTATTACTTATATATGTATATTCATTTTTAGAATATTTTTCTGAATTTATTCATGTCTGTATACTTCACTGCTGAATCCAGCATTGCAAGCCCCAAGCCTACCCTATCCAAAGCATCACGAATACAACGCCATGCCAGCTACCTAAGGTTGATGGTAGAGAGGGGTGGAAGGCAAGTAAAAGCATCCGAAGCCTGGAACTTTCAAAAAATTAGGCTGGGTGGCTACAAAACCGCAATGCACTTTTCACAATGGAGATATTAGAGTACAAAGTCTGTGACGTGTGCTTTGGGCTAAGTTTACGTGTTTGTCTTCCAGCCTCTAAACCGGTGAACCCTACAACCCGAAACCCCTAAACAGCCCTGTACCCTAAACCGCGAAACAAGCGCAAACACTAAACACTAAACCCTAAACCCTAAAAACCCTAAACCCTAAAGCCCTAAACCCCTAAACCCCTAAACCCCTAAACCCTAAACCCTAAACCCCTAAACCCTAAACCCTAAACCCTAAACCCTAAACCCTAAACCCTAAACCCTAAACCCTAAACCCTAAACCCAAGACATGGCCTTGGCGAGGGCCGATGCTCGGAGTGGCTCTAGGAGCGAAACTATCTCCGGAGTTGCGGCCTCGCTTGAGGTTTGGGGTGTAGGGTTTAGGGTTTAGGGTTTAGGGTTTAGGGTTTAGGGTTTAGGGTTTAGGGTTTAGGGTTTAGGGTTTAGGGTTTAGGGTTTAGGGTTTAGGGTTTAGGGCTTGGGGTTTAGGGTTTAGGGCTTGGGGTTTCGGGTTTGGGGTTTAGGGAGGGCTCAGCATCTCACATCGCGGAAACCTGAACCCTACACCCCAAAGCTTCACAGCCCCAACCTCCCGCCTAAAAGATGGGGACCTTGTAGGTCTACTTACCATACATCAAGCCTAATCTCGCAAGCTTAGGGCCTAAACCCTGAACACTGAAGCCTATACACCCTCAACCCTGAACCCGGAAACCAATAACCCTAAACCCTATACCCTGAAACCTGTAAACCCCAAACCCTGTAACCCAAAACCAGAATATAGGGGTCGGAAGAACTATATAATGACCCCCAAAACCCTATTGAAATTATGACGGCCCCTACATTGAGCCCTGAAACCCTGAACTCTAAAACCCTAAACCCTAAACCCTAAACCCTAAACCCTAAACCCTAAACCCTAAACCCTTTAAACCCTTTAAACCCTTTAAACCCTTTAACAAAGCCCCGCTGCGCCTGGGCCGCGCCCAGAGCTCCCACCGCTTCGCTCGGCTGCGGCAGAGCCAGCAGCGCTAGAACCCAGGAAAGCCACGCGACCATGACTTCGGATTTTGATGTTTCGGGGGGTTTAGGGTTTAGGGTTTAGGGTTTAGGGTTTAGGGTTTAGGGTTTAGGGTTTAGGGTTTAGGGTTTAGGGTTTAGGGCTTAGGGCTTAGGGCTTAGGGCTTAGGGTTTAGGATTCAGGGTTTGGGGTTCAGGGTGCAGGGTTCACTTGTTCAAGGTTAAGGGTTTCAGGGTGTAGATATTCAGGGTTGAGGATACCGATCAAGCTTTGGGTGGCTGCAAGGTGTCTGCAGGGAGGCGGGCCATGTCAAGTTGGGCGAGAGCATGCAGCTTCCTGCAACTTCTGACGGAGGCCGCGCGCAGGCTCGACAAAAGAACGTCCTAAACCCCTAAACCCTCAAACACCTAAATCCCTAAACCCCTAAAAACCCCTAAAAACCCCTAAAACCCCTAAAACCCCCCAAAACCCCTCAAACCCCTAAAAATCCCTAAACCCTAAACCCTAAACCCGCAAACCCCCTAAGCCGCTAAACCCCAAACCGTAGCTCAGTTTCGAACCTCAAGCAAAGCAGGCCTTGAAGGTACACTTTCCTTGGAGGTTCATGGGTACCTGCAAGTAGCCTTGTTACTTATCCTACATATAAGTGCTCTAAATATGGTTATAACCCATGAACCTCCAAGCACAGCCCTACCCAAAGGTGAACGCCCGGGAGCTCTGTGGTTCAAGGGTTTAGGGCTTGGGGTTGAGGGTGTTCAGGGTTCAGGGCTTCATTCGGGTTTCGGCGTTTTGGGGCCTGGAGTTTGGGGTATACGCGTGTTAGGGTTCAGGGTTTTGGTGTTTGGGGGCTGAATAGTGCACCTACACACCAAGCTAAGCCTACGTCCAACAGCCCCCGCGACAACCCTAATGGGTTTGGGGTTTCGGTCTTTCCACATCAAATCCCGAAATTTGAGAGTAGCGTAGGAAGAGCAAAAAAACACCCTAAACCCCAAACACCAAACCCCAAACCCCAAAACCCTCAACCCCCAAACCCTAAACCCTCAACCCTAAACCCTAAACCCTAAACCCTAAACCCTAAACCCTAAACCCTAAACCCTAAACCCTAAACCCTGACCTGAAACCCCCAAAATTTTCTTGAAATGCCTTGCGAGTCGACCGCCGGAGTGAGCTTCTGGAGGCCGATGCAGCCTGGGCCCCACGGACCCTCCTAAACCCTAAACCCTAAACCCTAAACCCTAAACCCTAAACCCTAAACCCTAAACCCTAAACCCTAAACCCTAAACCCTAAACCCTAAACCCTTAAACCTAAACCCTAAACCCTAAACCCTAAACCCTAAACCCTAAACCCTAAACCCTAAACCCTAAACCCTAAACCCTAAACCCTAAACCCTAAACCCTAAACCCTAAACTAAGCTTGAACTGGGGGAGGGTGGGGGGAGGGGTAGGACTGGGTTGGGCTTGAGGCTTCAGGAGAGCAAGGCCATGGGGTTCAGCAAACCCTACACCCTAAACCCTAAACCCTAAACCCTAAACCCCAAACCCGAAACCCTAAACCCTAAACACCTACAGGGGTCAAAGAACGCCCTTCAGTCGCAGCTTCAGAAGCCTGGGTTTCCAGAGTTTCATACCGGTTCACAGGTGGTTCTGAGGGTTTGAAACAGGCTTAAGGTCCCGAAGCTGTCGGCCTTTTTCTGCAACCGAAAGCAGCCAGGGACAGCGGAGACTCCGCGGCCACCCTCAGTCGATGTCCTCGGGCATCACCTTCTTTTGTGCTGCAAGCCTGGCTGATCGTCGCACTGGCACCACGGGCGACCTCGCACCTCCTAAAGGGGGGGGTTTAGGATTAAGGGTTTAGGGTTTAGGGCTTAGGGTTTAGGGCTTCGGGTTTCGGGTTTCGGGTTTGCTGTTTAGGGTTTCGGGTTTAGGGGCTAGGGTTTAGGGCTTTTAAGGTTTTGGGGTTGGAAAGCCTGGGTATGAAGCACAGGTCAGGGTTCAGGGTTCAGGGCTAGTACGACCACAATAGGTGCTAGGGTGGAAGGCTACAAGGAGTTAGGGACCGCAGGAGAGGAGTCTTCTACCAGCAACCCATACTTACCCAGGAGGAGCGCTCCGTTCTCAAAAGGTTGTGTCGGGAATTCCTGCTCGGTTGAACCGCACTGCATTTGCATAGCTAACTAGGTTCTGTGATCTTTTTTCATTGGGGTAGAAACCGTGCCATCTAGGGTGGTCCCTTTTTTTTGATCCCGCCTTGATTCGCCCTGTCGCGGCGAGAAAGCAGGTTCCGCATGGCCACGGCCACCCGTTCCAGCGCATCTGGCGAGCAACGACGAAGTTGCTTCAGCTGCTCTTCCGTGTAAGTCGTGGCCGCAGCTTTGATGCATCGTTCGTACTGCTGCGCGAGCCCATACTTCTCTGCCTGCAGGAGACGCTCGACACTGGTCGGCAGCTGTAAGAGCTTCGTCTCGCACGCTTCTTTGACGAAATCCACCTGATAATACTCACTGAGAGCAAGTACCCCGTCGATTTCGGACTCGTGCTCCATCACTCTGCTTGCGCCGGGCAGCAGCATGCCGTAGAATGCATCGAAATCTTCCTTCGATGCGCCTACCGTCACGGTCCCTTGGCACGCCTCCTTCATGCCCGATGCCAGCATGCGGTCCCAGACTGGTGAGGTCATTCGCAAGAGCAGGGAGCACACCTGCTTCGTGCCCCCTTCATCGAATGTCAGCGTCATGTCGTCAAAGGCATTACTCCTGGCGCGGGTGGGAAAGAGGTGTAGGGCTCAGGTTTCAAGGGCTTTCTTTTTGGTAGGCCGTGTGGGGCTGCCATCTTCTCTCCTGCCCTGACGAAGCTCAAGTTTCAGGGCAAGCGACAGCCGTGATTCCCATGAGCCTCCGTCGAACTGTCATAAGGTTTCAGGGCTAGAGATTGTTTGCCGTCTGGATTCAAATCCCGGAGCCTTGGAGGTTCATGACTAATCATAGGGCGGGGGGGGAGTCATGTCATGGCCGGAGACCCCTCAAACCTGAACCCTAAACCCTAAACCCTAAACCCTAAACCCTAAACCCTCGAGTTTAGGGTGTAGGGCTTCGGGTTTGGGGTTTGAACTGCCAGACCGTCCGGTCCTCGAGTTTTGCTGGGGCGTGAGCACGGAGTTCAAAGCCAACATTCTCCTTGACAGGCAAGAGGCATCATTCGGATCCAGGGCTGCTGGGGAAAAACCCCTGAACCTCTAGCCTCACAACCTACAAAACCATAAGCACAAGCCAGAAACACCCAACCCTAAACCCTAAACCCTAAACCCTAAACCCTAAACCCTAAGCCCTAAACCCTAAACCCGAAACCCTAAACCCTAAACCCTAAACCCTAAACCCTAAACCCTAAACCCTAACCCTAAACCCTAAACCCTAAACCCTAAACCCTAAACCCTAAACCCTCAGCCCAAGCCCCTCGGCCTCTTGCTGGCAGACTCCCGAGCCTCTGGGTCCGGGCGCTTGCCAGCACCTTGCGTGTTTGGGCCTCAGGGGCAAAACACCCTAAGCCCGAAACCCTAAAACCGAAACCCTAAACCCTAAACCCTCAGTACTTGAACAGCCAAGCTAAGGTTCTCCTTAAGACCTACTTGTGAACATGGTCCGTGTGCGGCTTTCCCCCTTCTTCCTTTAACCGCTACTTTGCCATGGGAGCCTCAGGGCGCACGAAGAATCCACCAGCGGTCTAAGTTTGGGGTTTAGGGTTTAGGGTTTGGGGTTTAGGTTTAGGGTTTAGGGTTTAGGGTTTAGGGTTTAGGGTTTAGGGTTTAGGGTTTAGGGTTTGGGGTTTAGGGTTTAGGGTTTGGGGTTCAGGGCATTGAGCCTCATGTTGGTCTTGGACAGGTGCGAGGCATAGATCTTCAACACTGAAGCCGAAAACCTGAACCCAAGCATTTAGTTGCCCATGAAGCGCTGACTTGGTATCATATGCTCAAGATCTGCAAGCCATCAATCTCAAGCCCTAAACCCTAAACCCTAAACCCTAAACCCTAAACCCTAAACCCTAAACTTCGTGGGCCGCCCTCATGGAGCCTGAAGGTCGCCGCTTCCCACCTTGCGTGCCCGCTTGCGCACATTGCCCAGCAGGAGGGTCGGCCTTCGGCGATCCTCCGGAGACTTAGTTGGAGGTTCAGGGGCTTAGTTGGAGGTTCAGGGTTTAGGGTTAGGGTTTAGGGTTTGGGGTTTGGGGTTTAGGGTTTAGGGTTTAGGGTTTAGGGTTTAGGGTTTAGGGTTTAGGGTTTAGGGTTTAGGGTTTAGGGTTTAGCGTTTAGGGCTTCGGGGTCAGGGTTCAGGGTTCGGGGTTCGGGGTTCAGGGTTCAGGGTTTGGGGTTTTTAGGGTTTTTAGGGTTTTTAGGGTTTTAGGGTTTTTAGGGTTTTTAGGGTTTTTAGGGTTTTTAGGGTTTTTAGGGTTTTTAGGGTTTTTAGGGATCTTCGGGTTTTTAGGGTTTAGGGTTTACGGTTTACGGTGTATCGCTTAGGGTTCAGGGTTTCGGGTTAGCCCAGTTGGACGTGTACTTCTAAACCTCCAAAGTCCCCGAAGTAGGTTCTAAGTACACCAATGATTGGGGGTCATATGTACCCATGAACTTCCAAGCAACTCCGAAGTGGCAGCACTCGCACTTGTATGGCTGCTTGGAGAACATACGCAGAGTCCATCAGCAGTCTAAGTTTAGGGTGAACTGGGAATCACTCAAGCCGAAAACCTGAAACCCCCACTCCCTAATCGCAGCTCAAGAACTGGCTGGTTCTTAGTAGGGAATGAGGGAATGAGGTACCCTATATCATCCCTTAAAGGGTATATTTAAAAAAAAAAAAAAAAATATATATATATATATATATACGTATATATATATATGTATATATATGTAGGGCCCAAATTCCCTCACTCCCTACTAAGGACCACAATCCCTGATTCAAGGGACTTGGTGGGCCTTCAGGGCTCGTTGCGCCGGCGGAGGCCGACGACGCCGGCTCTTGCATGCACTTCTCTGCCGGTGGCCCGGCAGGAGGGTCTGCCTTCGCAGATCCTTACAGGAATCTTAAAAGTGGCAGCGTCGGGTTTAGGGTTTAGGGTTTAGGGTTTAGGGTTTAGGGTTTAGGGTTTAGGGTTTAGGGTTTAGGGTTTAGGGTTTAGGGTTTAGGGTTTAGGGTTTAGGGTTTAGGGCTTAGGGCTTAGGGTTTAGGGTTTAGGGTTTAGGGTTTAGGGTTGCCCATGTGCAGCGACATGCATTCGTGGTGCTTTAGGTTCAGGCCAAGGAAGACGGGTGGATCCCTTGAATAATCCTCCCCTCGATCTCTCTCTCTCTCTCTCTCTCTCTCTCTCTCTGCGTAAATATGTATATATGTGTACATGTATGTATGTATGCATGTATGTATGTATAATATGTATATATATATATATACACATACATACATAAATACATACATACATGCATACATACATACATACATACATACATACATTCCTCCAACAGCACCCAACCGCGCCATAACGCTTATACATACTCCCCCACTCCCCTGTGGCCGTGTATCCTGGCATCTGGCTGTTGCACGGGCCTTAGGGGGCCTGTAAGCTGAACTTGGCGGCCCCCCGAACTCTCCTTGACAATATTCATAGTACATGTTCCAATTGGGGTTTCCGAAATTAGGGCCCCTTATTCGGGTCCTTGTTAGTTGTAAGGGAATTCTACTATTTGGGCGTCTATATGAGGGGTCCCTTATTTTCGCAAACCTCCAATTGAGCCCTCCTAAAGTAAACCTGAGGCCATGGATGAAATTGGAAATGGGAGCTCAGAGGTTGCTCCGTTAGTCCTCTTCTAGGGGGGCAGGTTTGAGGGCTAAGGGTCGAGAGCAGAATTCAGCAACAAGCAAGCGTCTCAACAACTGGCACGCCTTTGGCAAGGAATCCTGCGCCCCAAATCTTGAGGAAAAAACGAACAGCCAGAATGTTAAATGCTCGCCCAAACCCTAAGCCCAACAAACGGGCCTCCGGCGCGAGTCCTGTTCTGCAGCTTTTGCTCCTGCAGCAGACGTCGCGAATTTCAGCACCCGAAACCCGGAACATCAAATCTTCATCCCCAAGCAGGACGCTAGCAAGACGTCTCATCCCAAAGTCCACAAGATTCACCATGCTTGTGGAAACTACTCTCACACAAGATCGAGATCGTTGTACCTCGATCACCTGCAACCTTACTTCCACTCCTTCAAGAAACGGAGCCGGCGAGCGTTTGACACTTCTGCAGGTGTCAAGGCGCGCAT